AAAAAAGTGCATTTACTATGCAGCATGCGAAGAAGTTCGTAATATAGTATATTTGCTATGACTAGTGGAATAGGATTTACCGAGGGCCATAAGACCATGTTTAATTCTACTTTGTACAATTCATAGTTTCTTTACACGAATTTCGATTTAACAGATACATTACAATAGGGAACATCAAAATACATTAATAGTGTAAACGATGTAGCTAATGGTGTTACATTTTTCATATTTATTATTCAACAACCATGGTCTTCATCGAGTATTTTCTTTTCAACAACACACGCAGCACTATCCACATGGTGGTAAACATACAACGGCCACATAAAATGATTTAGAAGTACCTAACTATTTGTCACCACCGTGAGTGCAACTCAAAGAGTATAGCGCCACCAAGCGATCAATTCAAATATAATTACACGTCAATGTGTGGGTTTACTGATTTTTGTTTTGTCCAGGTTGTTGCCGTGGTGGTATAACAAGTCATTGGTCATGTGATCGAAATTACCCATATGACATCATTCACGTCTCACTTCGACGCTGTATAACACACACATACGGTGTATAGCGTTTTCGTGCTTTTATGCTACCATACACAGACCGTATCGCGATTACGGTGCTGACAAAAATAAGGTATGTAGTTTTGGGAAGCTGAGCAAATATGAAAGTTACATTGCCATTTACATTATTCCCAGGATTTCCTTGTAAGTCAGTATCAGATGGGATTTCCCGGGTTATTACCGGGTTATACGAATTGTAGTCATGTCTCGCTGAGACATGAGTCCGATACCTGTTTTGGTTTCAAAGCCAGCAAGTACAGTACAAATAGTGAACTAATTGGGATATTTACCAATATTCATTTTGTAATAAGCCATATGGACCCCATGTATGATAAGGTGGGAGCAGACGTTTTAGAATAAATAACGAATATTGTATCCTTCAGTGTGAACACGTACTGAAACTCAGTACTGTGACCCTTGAACCATTGATAACAATAATGAGGTATCATACTAGCCTGACATGGCATGTTCATAAAAGTAGTGAACAACATCAAATTCAATTTGTTTATATTCTAACATGCTCTACATTTCAGATCGTCGCGGGCGTTTGGTGACCATGGAAACGGCCACAGATGCAGTTCCATTAAGTTGTGTCTCTAAAAAGCGCAACAATGTGGTCGACAGTCAACGACGTAAACCAGACAAGACTGAGAATCAAAATTGGTAAAAATGCTAAAGATCATAAATATATTGTTTTAGTTCTTTTAAAGTAGGCATATTTTTTTTTTCATTTCTGGGTAGGACTTGCTTGTATCATATAATAGTGAATGGGCAGTTGTATGTCGGTTTTATGGCTATTTTTTTTAAAACAAAAACATTGTGAAAAATTGCAAAATAGTGTGATGCGGTACAGGCAGCCCAGGAACTTACATTAAATAAATTAAGGGTAATACTAGTACACACAAAGAAAACATTACGATGACAATATATCATATGATATGATATTCATTGTGATTTTTTTACGTTTTAATAACAGTGCTTGTAGCGATGAAGTAGATACCATATGTAATTACAACATGGAACACCCACGGAGGGGATGCGCAATAATCATCAATAACAAAAATTTCGAAAATATGGAACAGCGTAACGGAACGGAAGTGGATGCACACAGTCTGAAAACAACATTAGACAAGCTGGCATTTGACGTGGTTGAACACACCGACTTGAGTAAAGATGACATGGTGGCAACTATAAAGCAAAGTAAATTGTGTTCTTATATTATAGATTTGGATTTAAATATATTATTAACATAACTCATTAATACGGATTATTGTTCAATATTGTGATTTATTCCATTACAATTTATGTTCGATTAATTTAGTATCACAGTCTGATCACAGTGATTGTGATTGTTTAGTGGTCGCCATTTTAAGCCACGGTAGTGACGCAGAAGTATGTGGTACAGATGGAAAGAGTGTGGATGTTGATAGCTTAACAGAATATTTCCATGGCGACAAATGTCCAAGTCTTGTGGGGAAGCCCAAACTGTTCTTTATCCAGGTAACATAATCAACTTATTTAACTATTAATTAAAACTTATTTAGTTATATTGCTTAAACGTACAATACAATTACGGAATTTTCCACTTCTAGTAAGAAATAAAGAAGTTATTTTGTTAATTGTAGTCATGTCGAGGTCAAAAGCGTGATGATGGCGTGCCTCTCGAGTCAGACGGATCAGAGGAACCGGACTCGTGTACTAAGCCCCAACAACGTACCCCAAGAGCAGCCGATATACTGGTATTCCACAGTACTGTGCAAGGTAAAACATTAATGAATGCTGGGATATCACCAAAGATTACGTTATTTCTAAAATTTAAAGCATTTGGGCTTACAGCCAACTTCATATAGGCTCTAGCTTTGACAATATAACAACGTTATCAGTACCTTGGCCAAATATTAACAAACGACAATTGATATCTAAATATAGAAACTAAACTATCGGATTTCAAGGCATAGTCATGGCTGTAGTTGTTAAGGTCTTTGGTAAACACAATCGTGACGTATCGATTCCCACTGCCTATATAATCATGCTAAAGTTTAATTTGTTTCCAAACTTTTATCCGATAAATTCAAAACCTTATTGAGGACAAACTTATGATATACTTTGCCTGTCATTCTGTGCGAAATTTAAAATTATAAAAAGTGTTCATATGAATTTGCATGAGTTTGCAGCACAACCATTGCCAGATTTGACAAAAGTTTGGTACAAATACATTGTAATTTTAAACTTTAATTTAATTTTTGAATGTCAGACATGTTAACACTCCTATATTACCTACCATAAAGCAAAATAGCCCAACATTTCAAGGTCAAGTCAAGGACAAATAGACAAATTATTTTATACATGTATTACACAAATGATTTATTGGATTCAGAATGTACGTAGACATTCCTCAAAACAATTAACTTCATAATACTGCCTGGACGATTTTGGAGGTTGCTATTTCCCCCTTATTTGTTTGGGGTTAAGGTAGCGAGAAGGGAAAGTTATAGTTCGATTGAGATTATGACTTTCCTCGCCAGTTACTAAGCATGCAGCATGTATACGTTTTCAGAAAGCTGAGATATAGCAGAATACGATCATATACGTTTCGTCTTGATATTTGCTCAGGGGATTAAGTTACGATCGTTCCCCTGAACCTCCTAAACATAGAGTTTTTTGAGGGATTTGCCGTTCTATGTTTCTGATCTTTTCACTGTTGCTTTTTTGTTATGTGCCCCATAGTTCCGGAGATAAAGTCCGTTGAACTTTATGGACTACATTTTATGATCGTCTCCATCATGTTCTCAAGGCCGTAACTCAACGTCAACGGCTCACATAAACGTCCATGAGACATCATATTTTAGCCCATTTTGTGGCGAATAGATTGTGTAATTTGCACATCGTTAGCGCAGAAAAAAAACGGTAAAAAATGACATCTTCAATAGTTATGATAGTCAAAAAATAGTTACCGTAAGAACTCAATAAAACGTTTCTTCGAATTTGGCCACAGATAAACAGCTAATTAATGACCAAATGTCTACCATTTGTAAATATACAAGTATCTGAACTGCGTGGACAGTTACATCGTGAAAAATTGGTTGGTTGTTCTTAAAAAGCTACAAAACTTGGCAGTTTCATCGAAAGTGGGTGCTAAATTGAACAAGAGGGCGTACCGCGCAGTTAATTAATTCAAGTCCCTTTGTTATGTTGAACAGCGTCAACATTACAATCGGTTCTCTGAACACAGGGCGGGCGATCGTGGCAGTATATATTTACTAACGGGATATACATGCCTTCAAGTACAGATATGTTTACTTTATGTCTATGGAGAGTATACCGTTATCGCATTTGTTGTAATCAATTTGCTCCAAGTCAGCACTAGTTAGTTGTTTTTTCTACCGATGAAAAACGAAATGTTGGCCATAGTCACAGAGACCACGAGCGGAATAGTGTTGAAGAGTCTACTAGAGCGACCGCTTGTTGAAGTCGACCGAACAATTTCCGTCTTATTTTCGACCGCGAAAACCCGCTCGCCCTTATTTAAAATTCCGACTAACAAACAATTTCCGAGGTTCGCATTTTCTGATAATTGTCCTTCTGGTCTTTCATACATGTAGATGTTGAACAACCGTCAAAAATTCAAATATTTGTTGTTTTAACTATCTATAATTATAATTATATGCACGCAATCTGACCTTTTGACCTCGATTTAGCTGGGATTAAATATTTTATTTTAAACAATATTCTGACGTGAAAACAAAATGTACGGTAAATGTAAACACAAGTATGGCATCGTTGTCTGCGTTTTCTTTCCTGTTTGTTGAGTCTTCGCAATGTGTTTGTATATCGAAAGAATGTCCCTTCTTTTTCGACGCCGGAAAAATATCAGTCGCGGAGTTGCATTTTTGATTTTTGCACTTATAGTCAAAATGGCTCCCCAGCCATGTCGGACGTTCGTGTTTTCTGCCAAAACGACGTCAATATATCACTGCCAATTTTGTTTACACACTGTAACTCTACCATGATGAGTGAAATAGCGTCTGGACGATTTTTTGCACAGAACTTGTGTTGCTACTCTGCGGGTTGACTGTAATATGAGCCCAGGTCACTTTCATTTAGATATCTTTTAACGGCGTCAGAAATTTTTCGTCATCTTGGAACTCCTTCCCATGATATATTAGTTTATTAAAACACTGAGAAAAGCTTGAATACTATAGCGTAATGTTTGTCTGTGCTTCGATCGCATAACGGACACTACTTATAGATTACACAGGATATAATAAAGCTGGATGGTCAACAGTATGCAGTATGCAAATTAAATCCTTTGTCTTCCGTCTGTCACTCAACATGATGTGTAAACGCATGGAGGACGTGTTCACCCACAACTAGATTTCCGGGAATAAACTGAAATTACGCAACAAATGCACCGCGCACTGTAAATTTGGACCAAAGATAAAGAAAGTACACAATATAATGTTTCATAATCCGATTTGTTTTAAA